GTGAGATCATTAGTAGTAACAATCTCATAGCAGTTATTAGATGTGCGAACCCCATGCAAGACAGTGTTTCCCTTTTTATCCAAAATTTCACATTTATTTTTTGAACACAATACTTCATGCTGGGAATCACACATTTGACTAATGCTCAAAAGATTTGCTTTAAGACCATCAACAAGTAAAGCATTTTCCAGCATAGGAAGACCAGCAACACTTATAGAGCCCTTACCAATGACTCTAGAAGTGTCGCCATCTCCAAATGTGACAATTCTTCCTTCATATTTTTCAAGGGAGGTGAAATAGGATTTGTTACCGGACATGTGACGAGGGCACCCACTATCAAGATACCACATGTGTGAGTCACGTGCTTTTAGAGCAGTGTGAACAACTAAACAAGTCAAATCATCTTTTCTCATCTAAATCTTTTTGGTCTTAACAAAATCAGGCCTAGCGGTCTTGGTAAATGTCTTGGCGTTAGGAACACCCTCATGAATCTTGGTATTCCGCCTAGACATGTAAGGTTGTCTCCTAACCCAAAAAGTATTCGAATTTCTACCCTTTTGAGACACCTTACCATATAATTCAAAGAAATAAGGACGAATGTGGCCATACCTACCACAATGACGACAAATAAAAACAGGTTTTACCTCCCTTTTGTTGATCTTACCCCCTTTAGGTAGATGAAGAGAGTGATCACCCTGGTTTACCTTCAACTTTCCCTTTGCTTGAGTCTTCAGGTCATGTGATGTAGAGGCCTGTCCCTTCTGAGCTGTCGCACCATAGCCTAGCCCACTTTTGTCACAACCCATTTGTTAAGACTCGAGGATGTCTTCTAATGATTTGGAACCTTTGTTCCACATGGCAATTGTGGCTCTAGCAATACGGAGTTCTTCATCTTTCTGACAGACTATCTCTTCCAATGTAGCTTGTGACATCTTAAGACTTTCAAGCTTCTCTTCATATGTGGAATACACTTTCAGAAGTTCATTCCTTTCAGTTTCACAGGATAGAAGTTTTCCACATAGGTCTTGCCTGTCACTTGAGATCTTGATGACACTCTGCTTTGCTGCTACAAGTTCTCCTTTTAGCTTGACATTCTCGCTTTCACATGCTTTGAGCTTAAGAGAGAGTTTGTCATTTTGAACAAATTCAGAGATTCCTCGTAAAGCTTTTCGTAAGCTTGTTATAGTTCATCGCCATTAATCTCATCATTGTCTTCTGATGTTTCATCATCCTCTTTTTGCTCCTCATTCTTCTTGACGTCATCCAATCTAGCAACTAAGGCAGGAAAGTTGCTAGATGGTGGTAAAGATGAATCTCCTCTTTCATGAAATTGGCTTAGAATTTCCCATGCATCTTTAGCCTTTGTGCAGTGAGCAACCCGTTGCTATTCTTCATCAGAAATTGCTCCACGAATAGTAATCAGGACTCTCTGATTGCTCGGATTGTCAGCACTTTCTGTATCTTCTTCAATGGCTTGCCAGCCTTCTGGGTCAAAAGCTCTCAAAAACGCCCTCATTCTGATCTTCCAATACAAGTAATTACTCCCATCAAAGGTGGGAGCATGATGCAGATTCTAACCACGAGCAAATTCCACTAGCTTCGGAAGAGGTTGTGTGAAAGTGGACCAAAATGCCATGAAAGTACTATCCACGTCTTCACCAGATTTAGGTTCTTCGAGTTCTTGCTCTGACCCGCTTTCATCATCCCAAGTCACTGTGTAGACTTTTTTTCGATTCTTTTTCGAAGGACATTTAAGGGCAATATGGCCAAACCCTTGACATTCATAGCACTTGACTCCTTGCCCCTTTACAATCTTCTTTTCAGTTTTTGGAGCAAGTTTTGGTGGAAAAGTTTTGGGTTTTTCATTACTCTTTGTGTTTTGAAATAGGGTCTCTGAAATTAGGTTTCTTTTTCTTCAAAATTTTTTTAAACTATTTAGTAAACATAGCCGTCATCTCAGACTCTAAATCAAACTCAGTTTTCAGAGTTTTTGCAGTCTCATGGGCACTAGTGAAAGCCACACTATCTTTTTGTTTTTTCTTAGAAATCTGGTGGGCTTCATAAGTCTGCAAGTTTCCAACCAACTGATCAAGCTTGAGGGTATCAACATTCTGAGCCTCCTCAATGACTATCACTTTTGATTGGAACCTCTCGGGTAAAGACCTCAAAATTTTTCCAACAACTTTAGCTTCAGGGATTTTTTCACCAAGTGTTAAACAGGAATTCACAATGTCACTAAGTTTTGCATAGAAATCATCAAATGTCTCATCATCACGCATAAAAAGGGTTTCAAAGGCAGAGGTGAGACATTGAAGTTTTGACCTTTTGACAGAAATAGTACCTTCGTGAATTGTTTCAAGAATGTCCCAAGCCTCTTTTGCTACCTCACACGTGCAGATACGACGAAACTTTTCAGGTGTGACAGAGCAAAAAAGCGAATTGAGAGCCTTGTTGTTCCAACTCGAGTTTTGGTAATCGGTTGTGTCCCATTTATCAAGGGGTTTGGGAATCTCAATACCATCAATGGTGACAGTAGGTTCACTCCACCCATAAAGCACACAGTGGCAAACTTTCTCATCGATAGATTTTAAAAACGCTCTCATATGAGCTTTCCAATAAGAATAGTTTGTACTATCAAGTAACGGAGGTCTATGGGTCGAGTTACCTTCACGAATTGAATCCATATCACCAATCACACAAAATCACACTCCTATAGTTTTGATAAAAAAACAAAGAGTGACCTGCTCTGATACCAATTGAAAATCATAAGTGATTTGTGATTAGATCAAGATTAAAATATTTTAATTCCCAATTATTCAAAACACACAATCTAAATCATCAAGCACTTATGAAAGTGATTTAGATTGTTGTTTTCGAAATAAACAATAGATTGACACAAACGATTTTTACGTGAAAAAATCACAATTGAAGAACCTTCAATTGTAATCAAAAACCATGGACAAAACGCGACTAATCAATCCACTACTAAAGAAAGAAAGATTACAAAGATTACAAACAAATTACCCAACTCATCCAATTTGTCTTCAAACCTTCTGTAACTCTTTCACCAAGCCATCATCTTGGAACTGATTAATCTGAAGTTGAATCCATAACTTCACTTGTCGAATCAACGACTACGTACAGAATCAAACTCCTTTGAAACTCCACGTTTGAATCTTCGGAATCCACCGAAGAAGGCTACTCTTGTATGTAATCAATCAACCTCCTCGATATGTGTTTGTCAATTCATGAGTTTAATACTCACTCAAATTATCGACGAAAACTCACAAAAAATACTCCAGAAGAAAACCTTAGAAAACATCAAAGTAGATCTAAAAAACCTAATCCTAGTTTTGGAGTAAAACAAATACTTATAGAAATCCTGCACTGTGAGGCTCGCTCGAGCGAAGCTTCTCTCGTTCGAGAGAGGAACTTATCTCGCGTGATTTCCATAAGTGGCTTCCGAGCCACGCAACCTACGCTCGAGCGTACAATCAACTCTCATGTTTTTATACAAACGCACTTTTCGCTAGAGCGAGGACTCTTATGCTCGAGCGAGGAACAAAAAGCAGAATGAAAAATTACAACTCAATCAACTCAAGTTTGTTCGTGGGATTGACAAGACTAAGGGACCTAACACGAGTTGTGTTCAAAATTGTGGAGATCAATTGGGGAGAGTTTGTTGATCCCTATAGTTTTTTTGAAATTTCTCTTTCGTCCCCTAGTTTGAATTTCATCAATTTAAACTCTACGTGTTTAATTGCATTTCAATGTGATCATATTTCATTAATTGTCGTTAGCATTTTTGTACTGAAAAACATATGCGAAACTAGAAAGACTGAAGTAAAATTTGGAAAAGCTATAAGAACCATCGATGTAATTTGTTAATTTATTTTTTGAATGAAAATTTTTAAATTCTCACGTGAGTCACAAGTGTCATTTTCTAGTAAAATATTGATAATGGTAACTAACAGAGGGACCACCTTAAAACAAAATTGGAAATGTTAGGTTTAAATTGATGATATTGAAACTACGTGAACCAAAGTTAAACTTTGACCAACGATATAATTTACTATTATTTAAATGTGATCAATTTATATAATAAAGCCTATTATTTTTGTGTTGATATTTTATCCAGCAACTCTAATAGTAATAACAATTGATAACTGATATAGAATAATACCACACATAGGTATATATGGGCACATAAAAACTTTTCCACATCAACAATCCAGGCAATTCTAATTCAACACTTGCATGCATTTATCAGATGTTAATTGTTTGCAAAATTCTATGATGAATGTGCCCTGCTTCAGCCAGATGTTAATTGTTGGCAAAATTCTATAATGCCACTCGTCTGCTTCAACGGTTGCTATTTCGATGGATTTTAGTAATTTTGGAGTATCATTATGTGGTATCTTAATGTGAATGCTATTGGTTCATATAATAAGACTTCCTAAATTTTGTGCTGGAATTTTAAGAAATAAAATAAGAATTACAAAAGATGATTTATGTGGAACAATGCCTAATAGCATTGCATAATTTTCCCTTTTGATGGCTGCAAAGTATGGTGCAAAATCAGGTTCCTACGCTCGTAATCAATTAATTTTGTGCGTTCTTCGCAACTGAACCTCCTCCATTCACAGTAATTGTTTTTTACTTGGAAGATAGTTTTTACGGCATAAACTTTTTCCCCTTTTTTCTCTTGTTGTAATTTCTTTAATGGAAATGGATAGTATTAATTCAAGACAATGAAAATCTTGAAATCAATGCTGAAGAACGCTAAAGAGATAAATTCAATAAAACAAGGCAAAAAGAACTCACCAAATTTCATGACAAACAACAATAGCAAAATGACATCACAAATCCCCAAAAATAAAGACAACACACACACACGAGGAAGACCCTCTCAAACTGCCGAATAACATAATAGCACCTTTATTCTATACTATACCACACGTAGTAGAAAGATGAATAAAATGGTAGTACTTTGGGGGGATCTAGTTTGATGGAGGAGGTGAGAAGACAGGAACAGTAGGCATTGTTGTTGGGATGGTTGGAATTGAAGGAATTGTAGTTGGGATGGTGGGCAGTGAAGTTGCCGGCAGAGGTGGGAGAGTCAGTTGAGGAACAGTGGGCATGGTTGGCAATGTGGGCATTGTTGGCAAGGTTGGGATTGTTGGCATTGTGGGCATTGGCAAGGTTGGGATTGTTGGCAGAGATGGAATTGTAGGCATTGTTTGCAGTAGATTGCGAGCTGCCCAGCTCATCTGGATGCTTGAAAATGATAGCAACAAAATCAGAGATGGAACAAAACTAGTATGAAAAGCAGCCATTTGTGACCGGACCGGAGTAAAATTTTAGGGCAAAGGTAGGAGTTGAGTGAAGTTGTGCTTGGAGTTCTTTGTGATCAGTTTGAAGAGAACAACATGCATTGATGAATATTTATAGAGAACAAAAAAATTGAAAGAAAATCAAACTGATATATCATATGGAAAGACCAATGTCATGAGTTTGATGAGAAGTGGTTGGGATAAGCAATAGTTTGGTCACCTCCCAAAAGTAGGAACTAACCCAAGCAAGCCACCTTGGACACAAATGTGTACGTGACTCTCGTAAATCATAAATAAGTCAGTGGGTGGGGAAATTGAACAAATTTTAAACCTACACGTATCTGACATTAATTAGCTCCCTTGCAGATATGGTAGACAAGACCGTCTCATCATGATGTAGCTACATTTTTTTTTAATTGATAAATATGAACTTTTGTTTTTTAGATGGGGATAAATATGAGCTTTATTGATATGTTTTTAGACAATTTCTATTATTTTTGGTTACTTATTTTCTATGAACTGAGTATTTCGAAAAACATGATGTATTCGTATCAGGTACTTATCGGTGTATGATATTTAGTATAATATTTTTACATACATATTAGGTACACAAAACACGTACCCAAATTTTTTCTTCTTAATTTTTGGTGTATTAGGATGTATCTAATATATACCCAAGTCATACCGTACCTTAATTAAAACAATATTTTCTTCTATTACAGAGATAATTTCACTATATTTCTTTTTTATTTTTGGTTTTATACTTAGCATAAATTTAAAATTAAACTATGATTTGTAAGTTATTTAATATATTGACATTTAATTTTGATTTATACGTTTACTTTTGGCATTAAATGTTAATTATAGGTTGGATCTTAACAAATTAAACCATTTAATTAATGTTTATGTTACTCTAAATTAAAAATAAATAATTTTTTACAAGCGTATCAAGCTGTACTCGTACCCTATTTTTTTTAAATTGTATCGTATCGACATACCCGTATCGTATAAGTACCAGTACTCGTACCTGTACCCGTGCTTCATAATTTATTTTTGTTTCCCCATTTAGTAAATTTCTTCTATATGAACCTTTTTTATTTATTTATTTATTTAGATAGGGATAAATATGAACTTTATTGATATGTTTTTAGACAGATTCTATTATTTTTGGTTACTTATTTTTGTTTCCCCATTTCATAAATTTCTTCTATATACAGCCGTGTGTACCATATGTATACACCTTGTTGCATATCTTTTCAGTACATGTTACATATTTCTATGACAAATATTATTTATTTTTCTAGAATGATCACTATAATTTGTAATTAAAAAATAAAATTAAATATTTTATGTTCCACTTTTTGTAGTAATGCTATTTTTCTTTATTGAGTATTTTTTTAACAACAAAATGTAGTAACTTTAAAATAAAAATGCGTAATTTTATTTATGAATCACAAATTATCATAAATATACTAAAAAAATATGTAACATTTGTTGTAAAAATATGTAACATGTACTAAAGAAATGAATAATAAGATGCATAGGGTGTGTACCCAAAGAATTCCCCTTGTTTATGATTATTGTCAAGCCAAAATCTAATCACTCACCCGAGGTACTAACCTAACAACTAATAACCAACAATCAACTTTTGTTGATCAAAAAAAACCAAAATAAGGTAAAATTAGTTTTATTTTTTAATAGTTTATTTTCCTTTTAATTGCTCCCTAGGCTTATAACATGGCAGTTCGATGAGCACTTAAAATGTCAAACTTTGGGGAAAATTAGTTCTGACCTTTTAAGGCCTCAAAAACTATTCAGTGAGACAACAATGCCTTTTGCATGCCCTCACATATTTTATACTAGAAGGGAGATACATATATTGTGTGTTGCTCAAATGATAAAAATTACTTAATATTTACCGTAAAAATACATAATAAGATGAATATAGTACAAACCAAAAGGATTCCATTTAGGTATAGAGTTAGAGAGTCGTTGGCAAGGCTGGCTGTTACATTTTTGGGCCCAAAACAAATTCCTGATACGGGCGTTTCATAGAAAAATAAAAATAAAAATAAAAAAATAAAAATTATTGTGATGAAACTATTATGTATCTAACTTTTTTTCTTTTTTTGAACTATACCATTTTTACAAAAATGTTACTTTCATATATCACTGCTAAAATCTACTTAAATATGTAACAGAGTTTATAATAATAAAAATGATCAAAATAATCTGAGCTCAAATATTAAATAAGAAGCGAGCAAACAATAACAAAATATCAGTTGAATATTGTAACACTCTGTTCTGGGAGACAGCTCGAGCGGTAAAGTGGTCACTTGAGCAGTGAATCGGGGCTCCCAGTATCTCGCCTGCAAAACTAATTATAAGGCAAGACCGCTCTAGCAGTCAAGTGGTTACTCGAGCGAAGAAGTGAGACTTCCGGTATTTTCACTGTAGACCTGCAAAACTTTTGAGATCTTGCATTTACCGCTTGAGTGATGGAAAGTTCGCTTGAACAGTCTATTTGGGACAACAGATTTAAAAGTCGATCTAAACTCATTTTTATTTCACTTTTTCACACTGTTTCTCTCTTTAACACCTATTTCCAAAACTCTAGTCCAAAAACACTTGATTTCTCTTGATTTTACCCTAGATCCATCATAAATCTTCCTAAGTGGTTGGAGAACAAGCTTGGTTCTAAAGTTCTACTAATTGTTTCACGACTTCTTGGAGTTTTGGGTTTTGGGTTTTCATTCCTTATCTTCAATCTTGAGGTAGGGGTATGTAGACCGCCCGGAACTCCCGTTCCGTGCGCGAGGGCGCGAATTGTTTGTTCATTAGCTACTACAGTTTGGACTCATGTCACGGTTCTGAATCTAATCTCACAAAGTGCAATGCAAGACTGATAAATCACCAAAGAGTCCAAATCCGGCAAATCGTTTTGGAAAATTGATTTTTATAAAGAAATGTCAAACATGAACTGCTTTCCCAGATACAGAGTCGCCACCTAAATGTTTTATTTTTTGGAAAATTTAGGAAACCCTGACTCATGCCTAAGGCCACATGTCCGTCATCACCAAAGTTACCTCAGCTCGGGAACTTGGGTACGAGAGGGGAAGATCATGTAGTGAGCACCCCCGCTCGCCCGATCAAAGATCGGCCTTTACTAACATGATATTTTGTTTTTCAAAACACGTGTTCTTATTCCTGTTATTAACCTAGAATTACTATGTGATGCGCACAGTATACAAGTAAAGACTAGATCGCCTACGTTGAAACAAAACACTTCATATTCGTTTCTTTGAAAACGGTTTAAATGTGCTACTCGCAAGTAGGCTAAGTCGTGGATTTTGCCACCCTCAGGTGGGCTTAGAAAACATGATTTTGATGAATTGTTCAAATTCAAGCAATCCAACCTTCACCCACAGGCATTCATGCAGTTAAACACTTAAGCAGTTAGCCTCATGGCAAACATGCTAAACATGGTAACATACACATCTCATGCAGGGATGCTAAAGCATAAACACTCACAGTGTACTCCGAGCCAAAACAGAGAACTAGTTAGAAATCATGCATGATCCTAGTTCATGTTAAAATGGCTAATGCAACACATGCAAAAATACAACTAAAATAGGCTCGACTATTCTAAGATTTCATGTGAAATGCAACTTGATAACATGTTGTTGAACACGTATTCAAATAAATGTATTAAAGTACAATGCAGTTTGTATGATGCGCCGAGCCCAATGCATGTGAAACATATGAATGGATGCACGCATGCGAAGCATAAATATGCTAATCAAAATATGCCCTAAAACTAACCATCGTAAGCGGTTAAGTAGAAGGGAGAAAGAAATGGGGATTGGAAGACATGCATCACACACACGCACGCTTATTACAACAGTTGTGCCCTCTCGCAGAAGGGTCTGAATAATGAGCTAACTAACTAATCTAAGCTAATTAAACTAATTATTACATCACAAAACTAATTATCTAACAAGTTAACTAATTATTACAAAACAAGCTAATTAGCTAACTACACTAGCTAATTAAATACAAATAAGCAGCTAAATGCATTAACTAATTAAATACAGAACCAAAGCAGAAGCTAGCTAAGGAAAGCATTTAAGTAAAGCAAATAGAAGGGGGCTCGGAGCGAGAAGCGCATGCATGCTCGGTCGCCTCGTTCAGAAATCCATCGCGATGCCCCAACTTGCCTCTGTTTTCATTTGTTCTCAGAACACTGTACAAAGCTCCAGATAGCTTTTGCTCCACCATGGGAACCTATGGGAGCATGGCCAACCAGTTGTTGATGTTGTAGACCACCAGTCGACCACTTGCCTTTGCTGCAGACCAGAAAAAGTGGTCGGCTAGCCACTTTTACTGGTCTGCCGACCACTTTTTGCTGCACTCTTCCAGTTTGCTGCAACAAAGAACGAGAAGGGGCATGGCAATGTATTTGCAAGATATGTGTGCACAACCACTCTCCCTATCATTTCATGAGCTCAAGGGAGTGCGGTTTTCAACTCTCGAGCCACCAATCGAGCATTGTAATGCACGATGGCCAAAGAGGCAAGATTGCACATTTCAATGCAAATGAATGTGCACATAACACATAAATGCCTTATCCTCTATCATGCACAATCAAGAGGGTCAGTGACCGAGAAATAAGGCACGTTTCATCACTTCAAGTATGAAACGTCCCTCGTTTCTCGTGTTTGGACTAACACCCAATCCAAACACATGCAATGCAACTCAAGCATGCTAAACACAATGTAATGCATGCATACTCGATGCAATGCAACATGAGCAACCTATCAATGCTAATGACATGTATACACAATGCAAGGCAACATAAGCGTCCTATCAATGCTAATGGCATGCATACACAATGCAAGGCAACATGAACATTCTATCACTGCTAATGGCATGCATACACAATGCAAGGGCTATATGGACTTAAACCGAATATGGACGGACCTCAGTCTTGCCAAAACAGTGGC